TTTCTGAAACTCAGGGACATAATTGGATGAATTAACGAATGTTTGGCGAGAGTTTCACCAAGCTTAATGGTAATGTCAGCCTTATCAGTAAAAACATTACCACCATCCTTTAAATGATGAACGGTAGATTTGGAACCTTTGCCCTTAATTCTTTCTATCATGTTCCACACCTTTGAAACTGGTGTGCGCAAATTTATTTTGGAAACATAGTTTCGCCAAGACTGACGCTTATAATGTTTAAATGCGCGTCGAGCCTTAGCATATAGCATTTTAACTTTGTCTAATTATGAACTGTAGGATGTCGTGGAAAGTATTTTTCGTCTTTTTTCCTACACTTCCTGGCTTGTTTACATTCGTTATTAAACCATGGTTTACGAATATGTGGAATTGCAGAGGACTGTGGAATTGTTCTGTCAGTGATGTCATTTAGTATATCCGAAAAGGCTGTATAGGATCTTCACTGTCCATAAAACGATCATGATTTAAGCGTTCAACACACATAGTCTCATATAATGACCAATCAGCCCTGGCGAAGTTCCTTCTTGATAATGGAGGATCATCACCAGGATTGATTGTTTTGAGAATGGTGGGAAAATGATCACTCCCACATAAGTCATCATGGACCATCCATTCAAATTCATTAAATAAGGTGGATTCGGCGAGTGACAAATCCAGGGAAGAATATGTTCCCGTAGCTGGATGTAAATAGGTGGATGAATCGTTGTTAAATATACATAAATTATTACCTGAAATAAATTCCTCGAGGATTTTCCCTTTGTTATTAGTATGAACACTTCCCAAAAGCGGGTTGTGTGCGTCCAGATCACCCATGATAATACATAGTTTGGGAAGCTGATCATATAGATTTTGAAGATCTGATTGTCGAATATCGGAAGATGGAGGGATATACAAATTGCACAATGTCAAAGCAATGTGTAGAGTCAGACGAACAGCAACAGTTTGAAGATTCGTATTTAGCGTGACAGGGCTGTGTGTGACGTTCTTGTGAACCAAAATAGAAGGGCCTCCAGTTGCTCAATCTCCCGGAGGGGAAAAAGAATGATAATCGTTGTACTGTCTCAAAGTAAAGGTATCAGTAGTTTTTAAATATGTCTCTTGGAGACATAACGCTGCTGGCTGGAAGTCCTGTATCAGCAATTGCATTTCACTGAAATTATTTTTCAGTCCTCTACAATTCCATTGCAGTATATGTGACAACTGTGTCATGGGGGCTCAATGGGCGATCTTTCACGTGAATGTGAGGAGAAACTATTCTTCCGCCTGTCCTGGGAGGACAGAGTAACCTCCATGTCAAGAGATTCAAATGAGTTCTGTAAAGGAACCTCTGGAGATGAAGGGATGGTGATTGTTTTTTCTTTTCAGTTTTTTCCTTTGTGCTTTCCTTTTGTTGAGTGAATAGGAACTGGTTGCTTAATAAACATTTGTGAGTGTATCTCAGGCTGACTCTCTGTCTGAGATGCGGACGTTGACTTGGTGACTGGGGTAACAAGGTTACTGGTCTCGGGATGGCTTACAACAGGCAACTGTGGCACCACTTGTCATCCCTTTAAGTCGTGACTATGACACTACGACGGACGAGGAACCGACAGGTCTACCGGAATAGATTTTGAGATGTCCCCCGCCATGACTGGCTGTTCCGTTTCTGCAGTTTCACCCCTCCGCGACAGATAACAACTTTTGCGTTTTCAATGATGATAATTTCTTAAACACTTTTTTTGGTGGAGTCCGGAAAATTTTCAAATATAAGAAAGCTTTTGGGTATTAGTAAATGATAAACATGTGTACTATTTATTCTTCTGTGGCAATTTTGTACAATGATCAAATTTGCATTTCATCGGTCCGTTTCTGACTCAAACGGACTGTAGCATCGGAGTGGATTGGGGACATACACCTCCACTCCGATATTGAAAAAAACCCATTTTGATTGATGCTGGAACGGTTGATCAAGCAAATGTCATGAGATACGTGTTTGTATTTACAGCGATACCATATTTCTTTATTGTGAAGCGTTTGACTGCTGTTACCGCCTGTTTCTTCAACTCCACAGTGATTTCCTGCAGTGATGTCAGACAGGCAACGAGCCTTGTCACGAACAATGCCTCGACAAGAGTTCAGTGCCCTGTGCACCGACACAGCAACCTCAACATTTGCAAATGTTTTGATCGATAACAAATTTAGAGATTGCTGCCTCCGTGCACACTCCACAAGAAGTGAACCAATACGGAGCCGGGTGACGTTGTTAACCTCACCACAAATCCCAGATACAGCCTTTGAAATAGCGAATGGGTTAAGCTTGATCGGTAAAAAATCAGTCCAAGAATCATTGTTTGGAATAATGTTTCCACTTAAAGGATCAAAATCCTCAAAACGCCTTTTCTTCTCACTACGAGATGAACCAGAATGTAATATACTACCCATCAAAAGTTTAGACTCACTAGTGTAAATGTAGCCACTTACTTCAGTCAACTGTTCCAAATCTGATTTTGCAAAATATTCCATTCAGTTTGAAGGTACTGTTTACAGATGAACTAAAGTATTGTAAAACAAATTCGTATCTTGGAAAAGATTATTGTCATGAGTTAAGTAAATGATGAAAATCAGTGAAAATTGGCGAATTCTTAACAAAGCTTTACACCAAAACGTAGCTGTTCACATGAACGATATTTGCACATGCTTTTTAGCAATTTGATGCATGATCCTCGTACAATTCATCTGCATAAGGTGCTGTTGGTTCCCCCAAGTATTAGTGGGGAAATTCATCCTCGATGTAACCATGTATTTATACATAACATATAGTGAGTGCTTTAGGTGAGTCTAAACTTTTGATTGGTAGTATAGTACCATGATGAAAGGAAATGATTCAACACCCCTGCTGCCCACCCACCATGGAGCGTCAACAAGAACAGGGTAGACTCGCACCGGATCTCCAGGATGCTAACACCAGGGATACAGGGGTTTCATACTCCAGCAAATATGACACGAATAGCTATATTTGTCTAATGGATCAGTTGTCAAGCTGGTTCGGCCCATAACAATAATCTAAAGACAAATAGAATTCAGCGGTCAACATCACCAGATTGGCCCATGAGCCACCGCCTTCTGGCATAGGACTCTAGGCAATGTAACATAAGAATAATTTGTATATTGAGGATCAAACTATCCAAAGCCCCAAAATAAGAATATGTGCAAATAATATATTCACCATGCACAGGCCTTGGCGTGACCAGCCGATTGATAGAACCGGGCCAGTTCTACCACCCGTCTAGGTGAAGTAAGGGGCGAAGTGGTGTGTTGGGCAAAAGGAACACGGTTCCAGGCTCCCAGTGCCCTCAACCACCAGAATCCCGTCCTCAACCGACACAGGGGCGCAACCCACGGCAAACGGGTTGGTGGACCAAATATACCCCCGGGTCCACAACGGGGGGTTGAAGAGCGCTTAGTGTTACCCAGCACCCACCACGAGGAGATGGCTCTTCACGGGTGCCAACTGAAGGTAGATCACCATACTAGAGTCCATGGTGACTTACAGTACATTTGCTTCCTGCATGGACCATAGCTTGATTTACACCATCCCTTCAGTTGTTAGCAATTGAGACACATCTAGCCATAAATTAAAAATACACATATGCTACGATTAAAAAAGTGGAAAGTTTAAATTTACTATGAATGTTTTGGGACTTACGTACCCTCCCAGGAGGACAATAATTGGACAGTACTTTAACCTCCTTCGAGGATACAGCCACTAACAATCTGAGTTACTAATTCAAACTTCAAATCATAAAATATTTATCTATCTACAAATCATTTAACAAATCTAATTCTTTTAAAAATGCAATAATTAAATGAGAACTAATGTTATAAAAAGATCCTTCGTAGTTCGTGATTAAAAATAGTTATCCCTTGTCATGGAATATTCAACACAGCCAAGCAAGACATGATCAAGCAGCTTGTGAGCAAGCGTCATGTTGGCTCATTCTCTGAATCTAATGATGTTTGATTAACTTTGCTCGCTAGTTTATATTCCCACCTGTGATTCTCTAGTGTTTTTAAAGTCAATCGTCGACATCTTTTAATACTCCAAATGTTTTCACTTTTTACAGTATAAATTGTTTTTGTCACGATATGGCTGAGGTATTGCCGATGTGACGTTACATATTAACTCACTCACTATGAATGTTTGATACTTTCTTTTGGTTTTGCATTCTGCTTGTGTAGCCCGTTGTCAATGGGAGTCTATGCAACCTGTTTAAGAGGCGACTAATGGGTTCGGGTGATCATTCTCTCAGACTTGGTTCATGGATGTCTTCGTATCCGTATTGCGTAGATCGATGCTCAGGGTGTCAAATACTGGAGTGTCTGGTCCAGTCTCACTTATTTACCTACTGCCGCCATATAGCTGGAAAATTGCAGAGTGTGGCGTTAGTCAATAACAACACCACAAAAAAGTGAAGGAACGATTTTCTTGACTATCTTGAGCCATTCATGAGCCTAAAGGTTCATCTCCTCTCTGTCAGTGACTGTGTAAAGTATGCCATCTGACAACTCACGACTTAGTATGTAGATGGTTCTTAATGGTTTGAAAGACAGATCTTTATGTCAAACTCATGTTGGAAGACAAAATTGGTATCCATTATGATTTCACAAGGGTCAATTCCAACAAACAGGCACACATATATGTTCCATATATCATCTATAAATGCATATATACCATTAAAACAACTAGGGGTATTCCATTTTGCAAGCATACTACTAGCCAATGCCAATGCATATGGGAAAACGTAATGTATATCCATACAGATGAAACATTTCCAAAGGAATGGAATAAATTGTCACACTTTCCCTTAATTTCTCTTCATCATCTGTTTCCTCCTTGGCTTCATCATTTGAATTTTATCAATCTCGTAAATACAATATCCCCTACTTTTTTAATGGTATATATCGTATGGCGTTCTGTAGTAGCGGTGGTGATTATTTTGCAGGATTGTGCGATTCCCGTGAAGATTGTATATTTGTCATCCACGCGGAGACACCTACCATCATTGAGGACAACTCGGGCAGGGAATATTGACAACTTCTAGGTCATGGCCAGTTCAGACCCGGACAGGGAAGCCATGGGTGGTTCAGGCGAAGCCATGGGTGGTTCAAGCGAGGAAGATCCTACGGTCCATGGCGGCTCAGATCTACACGAGGAGGATCCTGGAAACCACTTGGCCATTGCCAGGCTGACTGATCGTGGACGTTTCTCTGAAGATCATTCGGCCATTGCCACGCAAAGGAGTCAGCCTTTCCTGTCCAATCCAGGGCGTGGTACGTGTGCAGTTTTTCTTCACTCTACCTTAGCGTCACATAGGTCTTACAAGCGCTGTGTACTCCATTAATCATTCATTGCACTGCTATATATATTTTACAGTTGTACTATAGACTTTACGAAACATGCTTTAGAGAACCGTGGTGTGTATAACAAATGAGAGGCTATTTCCTGTACTTTCGAAGAACACCGGTGAAAATCCGGGTTTGAATTGATCTTCAGAAAACATGCTTGTCGTATGAGGCTACTAACGGGATCGGGTGGTCAGACTCGCTGACTTGGTTGACACATGCCTTTATGTCCCAATTACGTCGTTCGATGCTCATGCTGTTAATCACTGGATTGTCTGGTCCAGGCTCGATTATTTACAGACCATCGTCATATAGCTAGAATATTGCTGAGTGCGGCATGAAAGGTAACTCACTCAGTTCGAAGAAACCTTCGTTAGAGCCTACAAATATTCCAGATTTCATGATATAGAACACAGACTTATTGCAAATCCCAATAATTAGTAAATGCAAAATGGAGCCCACTATGACTTCACAGGTTGCTTGGTATCAAACAGTCAGTAATCGTACAATATTTAAAGGGCACATATATAAATCTTTTTTTAACTTGTCATACAAGGTTAACACATTCTGCAAACTGAATGGAACATAAAGCAGTGGGTATTCATTCAGAGACATTTATACAGAGTCATTTGGCCTGATCAATGAGCAGACTTTACATGGCATCTTGCTGCTTTTGGTTATTGATTTGCACCAGTGACTTAAAGGAAGAGACTGACATTAACTTGGTCCAGTTTGAATCATACACTCAAATACTAATAAAAACAACTGCAGCCCTCTTTATATTGTATTAACGGAGCTGGTTGTTGAACATTAGCATGGATATGTTGCCAGGTGGTTCTGCCTCCGCTATCAATGTTTCCAACTCGAAGTACGTTAATATTTCCACTGGACAGACAGTTCCCGGGACGGTCGGAGATGGTGAGTTAACACAGACCAAGCCAAGCCTTGATTACACACTTGCAAACTTTCAATGAAAATTCTTTACAAATAAATGTTAAAACAATCAAAATACCCAGATGGGCCTCAGGTAGAATATGTGCCTTCGGCATGCTATTACTAGTCATAGAGGCAGATAGCTGGAATATTGCTGAGTGCGGCGTAAAACTAAACTCACTCACTCACTCACAGAGGCAGACCCATGAGAAACTGTGAAACTGAATGAATAAGAACTTCATCCTATGCATTCTGTAAGAGGCAGTTAAATGGTTGTGCTCATTTCGACTTACCTGACAGCGTTGTTTGTAACTCATCACAAGTATTTACTTACAGACTGTCGTTATACAGCTTGACTATTTTTAACTGTGACATTAAACATCCCGCACAAAGAGATTTGTCAAAGCATCTGTATAACTCTGGTGATAAGGGTATCTCAAATACCACTTATGTTTTGCAGTCAGAACATAGTAGTAAAAGGCAAAATGCAAAATATTTCGATAAGTTACAAAATATTAAAGATCCAGAAAATGACTATTTGACAACCATTTCTTATCATACATTGATATTCATGATGTTTTGCCCATAAACTAGACGGCGCTATTTTGCACTCATCACGTCACGATCTTAAGTAGGCAACTCTGGCCTGATTATGGTTAAATTGTATGTGTATTTTAGTTTACATTAATTACCCACGTTAACGACTTCAACATCAGTATATTTAATCACGTCGATGTGTCCTAAGCACAACACATGTATGTTTATACAATGTCGTATTTGTCCACAGGTACTCTCGAACTTCTTCTAAATGAAGCCAAGAAAACATTTGTTGAAACAGATGTCTACAGACAGGTGAAGCGTAAACTTGAAACGTTTGGTTACGTGACAATCTGTGGTGCCTCAGGAGAAGGGAAGACCACAATGGCTCTGATATTGAGTTCACAGTACAGAAACCGAGGTTACCAGGTCGTGTTTGTGGACAGCATTGACAAGTTTGATTTGGACATCTGCCTCAGTTCTACTCCAAGAGTATTTCTCATCATCGATGACATGTTTGGTACTGTAGGCTTGTCCACTAATGTTCTACTGATTAAATCATTTCTTAAAAATCTTCTTCTCCATTTAGAAAACTGTAAGCAGGCCCTGAAACAAATTCAGTCAGTTAGGAAAGAGGAAAGTAAACACAAGCAGGATGATGAAAGAAAAAGTCAAAGAAAGGATATTCGTGTCATATTCACAACAAAGTCATACAACTTTCAAGGCGGACTTCCACAACTGCACTTTGTTTGTTTTCCTCTGTTTGAGGAACAAGCAGTGATGAATATAACCTTACACAGTCTTTCCCCAGCAGAGGAACAGCAAATATATGAGAGACATAAGAACATACCAGATGACTGTTCCAAAGGTAATCTACCCGAATACAGTGATTTGGAAATACCTTCAAAATTATTTGGATTCCCGCTCATATGTAAACTTTGTACTTTTTCAAACAATCCTAGAAAGCTTTTCAAAGAACCATTGTCTTATTTGAGAGGGGAACTCACTGACATAATCGGTGCTATGAATGATCGATCTGCAGTGTTTGTCCTGATGTTACTTTGTGAAGGCAGATTACAACTGACAAAGTTAGAAAGTGATGATGCAGACCAGGAGTTGGATGAGAAAGTCAACATTGTGATACGTCTAATACCTACAGCAACACGCTCGGGGATGTGTCAAGCAGCACGTAGTTTCAGAGGTACATTTTTCACAAGAGGAGACACTGTTGCCTTTGCTCATTCTTCAATCTATGATGCATGTGCATGTGTTTTATATAATAGCATCAATCCAAGCTTTGTTTTGAAGAACTGCAGTGATGCCTTTCTGTATGAGCGAGTACTCCAAGAAACCGTCATAGAAACCAAAGTTGATGATAATCTTCATTTTATTTTCATTTCCGAAGACTATTATGATCTTCTGTCCACACGGTTTGCAAATGCTATTAAGCAAGGACAGTTTTCAAAGTCAGTAACACATCCAATCCTCAAGCACAGCAATCTAGCTGAACAGCTTCTTAAAAGACTGACATTTGGTGAGACGAAACACAACACAAATGATTCAGTGGAGCATGATTGGATTCACCAAAGAGAAAAAGGAAAGTGTTTCTTGTATTGGGCTGTTCTGGGACATAATCCACAGTTGGTTACACATGTGGAGACTCAAACTGGAGAAGTGTTCACAGATGACGAGATCACAGAAGCTATGGAAGGCTGTGCTCAAACAAACAAGGTGACGTTACTGCAATGGCTACTCTCAAAGACTGATGGACAGGATTGGACTAATAACTGGACAGACTGCTGTTGTCTGCAGCAGAAAATGGCAGTACTGAAACACTTTTGTATCTTCTGAAAGCTGGAGCCAGTCTCCATACCTCTGACTCCAGGATGCAAAACATTTTCCATTTGGTGTGTAAGTCACAACACGAAGACACACTTCGGGCACTGTTAAATACACAGTCAAATACAGATATTTTAAACAGGGTTGATGTGAATGGCTACACTCCTCTACTGGTTGCAGCAAAAACAGGATCAGAGGAATGTTTCAAACAGCTGGTATCGATCTCAAATATGGATGTTCAGGGCATGGATGGAAATTGTGTTTTACATCTTGCTTGTCAAAGAGGAAACATTGCCATTGTTAGGCAACTGCTACCTTCAGTCAGCATTGACAAAAGAGGCATGGATAGCCGGACACCAATCATGTTGGCAGCACTCAAGGGACACAAAAAGGTGTTTGACTTCCTGGAATCAAAGGGGGCGGACCTGTCTATGCTTGATACATTTGATGATAGTGTACTTCACCTTGCCTGTGAGGGAGGAAACATGACTTTGGTTGAACATCTGGTATCAGATTCTAATATCAACCTCAAAGGCGGTAATGGATGGACACCAATCATGGCTGCAGCTGTCAATGGACACAAAAGCGTGTTTGACTTCCTGGAATCAAAGGGGGCAGACCTCTCTATGCTTGATACATTTGGTGATAGTGTACTTCACCTTGCCTGTGAGGGAGGAAACATGGCTTTGGTTGAACATCTGGTATCAGATTCTAATATCAACCTCAAAGGCGATAATGGAATGACACCAATCATGGCTGCAGCTTTCGATGGACACAAAAGTGTGTTTGACTTCCTGGAATCAAAGGGGGCAGACCTCTCTATGCTTGATACATTTGGTGATAGTGTACTTCACCTTGCCTGTCAGGGAGGAAACATGGCTTTGGTTGAACACCTGGTATCAGATTCTAATATCAACCTCAAAGGCGGTAATGGGAGGACACCAATCATGGCTGCAGCTTTCGATGGACACAAAAGCGTGTTTGACTTCCTGGAATCAAAGGGGGCAGACCTCTCTATGCCTGATACATTTGGTGATAGTGTACTTCACCTTGCCTGTGAGGGAGGAAACATGGCTTTGGTTGAACATCTGTTTTCAGATTTTAATATCAACCTCAAAGGCGGTAATGGAAGGACACCAATCATGGCTGCAGCTTTCAATGGACACAAAAGCGTGTTTGACTTCCTGGAATCAAAGGGGGCAGACATCTTTATGCTTGATACATTTGGTGATAGTTTACTTCACCTTGCCTGTGAGGGAGGAAACATGGCTTTGGTTGAACATCTGGTATCAGATTCTAATATCAACCTCAAAGGCGGCAATGGAAGGACACCAATCATGGCTGCCGCTTTCGATGGACACAAAAGTGTGTTTGACTTCCTGGAATCAAAGGGGGCAGACATCTTTATGCTTGATACATTTGGTGATAGTTTACTTCACCTTGCCTGTGAGGGAGGAAACATGGCTTTGGTTGAACATCTGGTATCAGATTCTAATATCAACCTCAGAGGCGATAATGGAATGACACCAATCATGGCTGCAGCTCTCAATGGACACAAAAGCGTGTTTGATCTCCTGGAATCAAAGGGAGCAGACCTCACTCTGCTTGATACATTTGGTGATAGTATACTTCACCTTTCCTGTCAGGGAGGAAACATGGCTTTGGTTGAACATCTGTTTTCAGATTCTAATATCAACCTCAAAGGCGGTAATGGAAGGACACCAATCATGGCTGCAGCTTTCGATGGACACAAAAGTGTGTTTGACTTCCTAGAGTCAAAGGGGGCAGACCTCTCTATGCTTGATACATCTGGTGATAGTGTACTTCACCTTGCCTGTGAGGGAGGAAACATGGCTTTGGTTGAACATCTGTTTTCAGATTCTAATATCAACCTCAAAGGCGGCAATGGAAGGACACCAATCATGGCTGCAGCTTTCGATGGACACAAAAGAGTGTTTGACTTCCTGGAATCAAAGGGGGCAGACCTCTCTATGCTTGATACATTTGGTGATAGTGTACTTCACCTTGCCTGTGAGGGAGAAAACATGGCTTTGGTTGAACATCTGGTATCAGATTCTAATATCAACCTCAAAGGCGGTAAGGGAAGGACACCAATCATGGCTGCAGCCTTAAGTGGACACAAAAGCGTGTTTGACTTCCTGGAATCAAAGGGGGCAGACCCCACTCTGCTTGATACATTTGGTGATAGTTTACTTCACCTTGCCTGTCAGGGAGGCAGTATGGCTTTGGTTGAACATCTGGTATCAGATTCTAATATCAACCTCAAAGGCGGTAAGGGAAGGACACCAATCATGGCTGCAGCTTTTAGTGGACACAAAAGCGTGTTTGACTTCCTGGAATCAAAGGGGGCAGACCTCTCAATGCTTGATACATTTGGTGATAGTGTACTTCACCTTGCCTGTGAGGGAGGCAGCATAGCTTTGGTTGAACATCTGGTGTCAGATTCTAATATCAACCTCAAAGGCGGTAAGGGAAGGACACCAATCATGGTTGCGGCTTTCAATGGACACAAAAGTGTGTTTGATCTCCTGGAATCAAAGGGTGCTGACCTCACTCTGCTTGATGCATTTGGTGATAGTGTGCTCAATTGTGCACGTCAAGGAGGGGACATGGTTATTGTACAACATCTTGTGTAAGATTACCCGTTGAATAGAAACTAAAAAGTTGCTGTCTTACCAACAATCAGAGAAACGATCTGTAGATGAGGCAAAATACATTCTACACAAGAGTAGCATAGGCTTTTAATGTTGATTGGAACTCTCTGGAAAACAAATTTTAGTGTAGTGTGTAACCATTGTATAAAGATTTTATGAATATCCGTTCTGAGCCTGTTACAATAGCAGTGTGATAATGATGTACAAAAAGAAGTGTTATGACACACCCACCTACATATTGATTAAGGTACCTGGTTTTAAATTAACTATATTATCACAAAAGCTATCATGGAGAAAAAGACTGTATAGTAAGTCATATTGGGTCAAACATGCTGGTATTTTCATCTCAGGAATAAATACTATCTGGTTGGCGGATTATTTGTATATGAACACTACTCTAGTGCCATACATTACACATATTTTTGGGAGGGATGTTGTATCAGCATGGGGTTTGTATCTATCCAAATGCTATGAAAAGATTACAAATATTTCTGACATAAAGACTCAATTATTATGGTACAACTCTAATATCTCTGGCAAATGGGTAGAATATAGTCACTGGATAGGAAAGGGTATATGTTTTATTAAGGATATGTTTAATGAAAACGGTGAAATTTATTCTTTTAACAAACTTGTAGAACCATACAGTTTAGAAACAAATTTTGTCTTATATCAAGGGATAAAGTCAACAGTAGTGAGATATATTAAAAGATATACATAATTACTTAATGATTACCAAGAAAGGATATATGACCCTACTCTCCCATTTAATGTATACAACATAATCAATATACAAAAGGGTAGTTAAGTGTTTTATCAGATTTTACTTGCTCCAGAATTCAGTACAGATGCCCAAAAAAAACGTCAAAAGTGTTTGAATAGAAAAATTGATAGATCAGAACAAGAAAATATTAATCTGATGTCTTATAGATGTACTGAGAGTGTGAATATGAGATGGTTCCAATCTAAAATAATATTTTAGCAACAAATAGCTTTTTGTACATGATAGGAATATCATTCTGTGGACAAGATCCAGAGGCCATGATGCACCTGCTGGTTGAATGCTTTTATGTGAAAAAAGATATGGCTTAAAACTGCTTCGGGAGGTGAAGTTAATTTTTCACTGGAGAATATTTTATTTGGATTCAAAGCCAAACACAATAATCCACTGAATGCTGTAAATTTGGTGGTAAAAGAAGCTATTCACAGAAAATGCAGAAAAAGGCAAACTCTGAATATTAGATATATTAAAGCAGAAATAACTAAATATTATGAAGAAACAAAAATGATAGTTTTTTTCTAATTGCATTAATGCCAAATTCTTCAGCTTCTGGTCCTCCTTCCAAACTTTATTTGCCAAAAATTAAACTTTTATCAGCAGACTTGTACGGCACGCAACACTTCCTATACACGATTAGTTTGACCATTTTACATATCTGTGAACAGCATGATATTTGACAATGTGATCAACGAAACACTGTACTTGCGTAGTATGAAGCTACCTATACTGTACTCATGTACTATGAAACTACCTATACTGTACTTATGTACTATGAAGCTACCTATACTGTACTTATGTACTATGAACATACCTATACTATACTTATAATATGTACTTTGAAACTACCTATACTGTACTTATGCACGATGAAGCTACCTATACTCTACTTATGTACTTTGAACATACCTATACTATACTTATGTACTTTTAAACTACCTATACTATACTTATGTACTTTGAAACTACCTATACTGTACTTATGTAATATGAACATACCTATATTATACTTATGTACTTTTAAACTACCTATACTATACTTATGTGCTATGAAACTACTTATACTGTACTTGCGTAGTATGAAACTACCTACACTGTACTTATGTACTATGGATCTACCTATACTCTACTTATGTACTATGAATCTACCTATACTGTACTTATGTACTATGGATCTACCTACACTGTACTTATGTACTATGGATCTACCTATACTCTACTTATGTACTATGAATCTACCTATACTGTACTTATGTACTATGAAGGGACCTATACTGTACTCATGTACTTTGAAACTACCTATACTGTACTTATTGATATGAAACTACCTATACTGTACTTATGTACTATGAAACACCTATACTGTACTTACGCATTATCAAGTTACCTGGAAACCATTCTCTACGTAACCATATGTTAAGCGTGCAGGATAGGATCTGAGAGACAAGAAACAAACGCGTACTATTTGGTGCGCAAAATGTGTCTTACGGAAAATATCTTCCGATTGACAAACTTCTGATGTCACCGCTGATATTGTGTGATCAGCTTGACCTTTTACGACTGATGGAGTTATCTATGATAACCCAGACTGATTATTCTCTGGTGCTGACGTTATATATTTCATTTGTTATTACAATCACTACGAACCTGTGCTTGATGCAGGAGATAGCTCACGAAAACAAGGTTGATAGTGGAGACCTTGATTTGGTGGCGGATATACCAACTTCAGAGACTTGAAGCCGACAGCGTGTGGTGGACACCGACTTTGTGGTTCAGTGAATGTGTACATATTGTTTTTACTGAACTCTTGGCGGAGATGAGCATGTGCTCTTCCAGAGACTGTTTAGCTTATGTTGCATATAAGTGAATGTTGTCAACGTGTATTTGCTCAGAGGCCATATTCCGATATGTGGTCACGGGTTTACTAAACTAATGCTGCATTTTGTTGAATGCTTCCAAAGTATATCAGTAAAGTGATATTGCGTCTAAGTGAAGGCTTTCAAAGGGTATTTACTGGACTGATGTTTTAGTGATAGGATGTTGCTTGGAATGTATTTCTGTTAAGGCAAAACTATTGCGTTTTTATTGATGTAGCCTAATTATTATACATTGTGATATGTACTTTTTCAGAAATGGGTTGTAACTTGTTTTACAGTATGCTATCTTTGCATAAATAAATAGATTTAAAATGTTGTTTGTATTTTCTAAGCATCGAACTCTCAGATCTTAGATTTCATTTGTGACACAAATTGTATCATGTTATATACAGAAAAAAGACGTTTAAGAACAGAACCTTATACTTAACACAAACAAAGAAAACACGTGTTCCTTGCAATTCTCCTTGCATGCTGGTAGGGAGTCATTCTAGATTTTGGACGTCGGTACCCAGCAAGAGGTAGCCAATATATTTAACATGTGTCAGTCTGTGATTTGTAGACTTCTTCACACATTTCTGCAGACAAAAATGTTCTTGAATAGGCCTGCTCAGTTAGTGTTAGGCCTGCAACACAGGTTCAGCATAGAGTTACTAGAACGAGGATGTAAAGGGACAGTACGTCGACGGTTCTGTGTGTTTTCAAATTATGCCTTTAATAATTTCAAACAGTTATCATACACCTTGTGTTCATGCCCGATTCAATTCTCAACCAACAGTGCTTACAAGATAACGGAAACACTGCACATTGTATAACTGGAAACGAATTGAAGAAAAAGCTCGTGTGTTTATCAAGTGGATGAGTTACAAAATACTCATTGCCACCTCCGTAGAAAATGTAAGCCAGAGTTTGTCAAAGCCTTGATTCAAATACCAATATGCCTTAGTTGTATGAAGCCAATCACTCCACTACCGAGAGGTCGTTGCGGTCATTGTTGTGCCTCGCTCACAGAGTCACATCTTACAAATTCCATTCAAGTTTTCATCATATGTATCATTTTGGATGAGCCATCACTTAAAGATAAACTTGTCATCAAATGTTAACCATTAATACAATAATAATTTCCATTTATATGGTGCTAAACTGCACTGGGCGTGCCCATAGCGGATACAAGAGTCAAGGAAAAGTAAAACCGTGGTGGCAGTACAAGGTCACTTTCAAGTACAAACGGAACAGGTGAGGTGAAATTGGGTTTTACGTCGTGCTTGAGAATATTTCGCTCATATGACGACGCATGCATGCGTGTGTATGTGTATGTGCGGCTGCTTGTACTAGACCAGACTGAAGCTGGTTTTATAGCGCTAGCCCACTGAGATACCATGCCGCAGTGAAGCATGAATACCCCACTCAGACACAGTATACTGACTCCGAACCGACCAGTCCTTTTTGTACCCATTAATGCCGAGCGCCAGGCAGGGACCAACAAGTACCATATTTTAACGTCTTTTTGGTATGACGCGGTCGGGGATCGAACCCGCGACCTTCCGCTCTCCGGGCAGACGCTCTAAAGATGAGTCTTTAAGGGACACTTAAATTGTTCCAACGACTGGGCTTCTTTGAGAGAGTCTGGCAGTGAGTTCCATTCAGTGGCAGCTGCAACACCAAAGGACTTTTTCTTCCTTGGTGAGTCTCTGTTCATTTTCAGACCTGAGAGAATGTGATCGAATGTATACAAGGTCACACAGGTATGATGGCGCCAGAATGTGAACGCACCGATATGCCTGAGTGAGGATCTTAAAATCCACTCTCGCCGCTGGAGCCAATGTAACGCCTGAAGCACCGGTGTTATGTGCATTGTTGAGGGAGATCTGATGACTATCCTCACTGTTTGATTTTGCACTTTTTGAAGCTTACTGAGGAGTGTTTCCGGTATGTTCGCAAGCAAGCAATGGGGAGCATTCCTCAGTTATCGCCCTTTACTGCTTTGCCAATAGATGGCGCCAATCACTACGGTCCTAAGTGTACTCCGGCATAATGATGGCGCTCAAAGTTTGTTGCACGGTCGATTTCAAATGCGCAGAAGTATTACAATGTCTGAGACGTGCTGCCGTGCCTCGGGATGCTGCGGAGCAATAGAGGTTCGACGTGTCCGAGAGGTCAAAACTTGCTGAAGTGGTGGTTGACTATCATTCGAAGTAGCGACGAATGAAACAAAAGCATGACGAGGTAGCCGTCAGCTCTCGCTGGTCTCATTCTCAGTGTTGTGTGCCATTTCCACTTCTTACAGAGCGATTTCGTTACTGTAACTGATTATGGTAAGTGCCACGTATTTTGTATCGTTTACAGTTTGAAGAAAACGTTGTTATTGTTATTCTCCTTGCCAAATTTAGTTAACGTGCATGCCAACCGAAACATTAGGGGCCTCTCACTGTAGTAATCATCAAAACGTACAGCACAGTGACAGTACACAATCTTTTCGCTTTACAAAGGGTGCAAGCCAAGGCGTCACCATCTGTAGAATGCCACTGATGTTATCATCTGAAATCAGCCCCCAGTGAAGATTAGCTATATACATGCTAAAACAGTTTCTGTAGTAGTTAGGCTTTATTCATTGTTAACATTGTTTCAAAATGTTTTACCGTACTTGAACACAGCTACTGCATTCTAATTTTAGGTTAATCTATTGAATTTGTTTTCAACTATATTTCAATTATGTCTTAGCAAAGCATTCATCACTTGATATGGCCTGTTGATTTTACCTGCTTGTCTTCCCTCATGCAACACCTGGTCATGCATCTGAAATACAGTTGTCGGTTGACACTGAGTTACATTGAGTAATTTACTTAAAATTCTAATGTATGTGATATATCTTTACATATGCTTATATCTCCTGATGAGGGGGCGGTGGGGTAGCCTAGTGGTTAAAGCGTAGGCTCGTCACGCCGAAGACCCGGGTTCGATTCCCCACATGGGCACAATGTGTTAAGCCCATTTCTGGTGTCCCCCGCCGTGATATTGCTGGAATATTGCTAAAAGCGGCATAAAACTTTACTCAGTCAGTCCTGATGAAAGGTAGGCAAGTAAATTGCAACCCCAATTTATTATTTTCATTGTTTTAAGGTAATTGGCATTTCACAAGTAAATTTTCATGTGAACCTATTGGTTAACTTTCATTTGCTTCTTGCTTTTAAAAAAGCAAGTTAGCATCATTATATACATGTTTGCAAAGTTGTTTATGTTTGACAATAACACCTTTGCTCCCTTCATTGTTGAATTAAAGTTTACCAAGAATGCTAATACACAATTGACTTTTTCCCTTTAATGCATCATATTACATCTCCCTACAGGTGCCTGTTGTCCACAAAGATGAGGCCCAGGTGATTCCAGAATACACACGCTACAGGTTAGTGTTTGTTTACTTTTGGTATGAATTTGTCTGAATAATGTCTGGTGTACTTGTTGAACACACTTCTTTGTATCAGAAAAAATTAACGAGGAGAGTTACTTGCTTGATAATGGTGTTAGTAGCTACACCACAATGTCGCTCATAATATATTCAAGAAGTTGTATATCCAGAGAACTCTCCTTGTTGATCATCACACCAACTTCTAAATGCCACTCAGAGAAGGAAAAAAATGTCAGCATATTTAAATTATGCTTCTCCATAGTTGAAACATTTGTTAAGAATAATGTTTTCCACCTTTGACCTATCGGAATGAATATGTTCATTATGTGACATGTCTTTCTCTACAATAGTAACTTAAATCTGATAATGATACATTTTCTCATAACTGGCAGTCATGAGATAATATTACCCTGTATCAGTTTGAATAGTAATACTCCACTGATGTTTTCCAGGATGAACAAGTCTGAGGCAACAGAAAGAAACAGATGTTGTATGACCAATTCATTCCCTGGACTGTATCAGCTGACCCACTTAATGCTGGTGGATACTTGTGATGTTGAATGTAACATCAGTGAGATCGCTGGGGAGGAAACAATCACCCATGATAATTTTGATGGCAAGAATTGAGCCAAACATTTTCTCTCCAGACTGGGCACAGGCCAAGTATGAAAGTAACTGTATATCAACACCGAGACAAACATGTCAGTGCTTCCAGTACTAACTACTATGCTTAATGCTGCAGCAATTTTCATTTACACAGGACTGTCAAAATATTCAGACTTCACTGTTGTACTTCCATTTTTGGTGCATATGCATGTCACCTAAATTATCTGTACAGCAATATTGACAGTTTGATTGTCAGCGTGGAAAACATCAACATGCATCTGATGTAAGTGTTAATCAAGGTTCTTCAAAGGAGACCATCATTTTTTACTGTATGTATGTCTATATTTATGAATGTCCAAAAAAAGAAGAATATAATATGTTGAACAATAAAAATGAAATGACAACCCAGACTTTGTTGATTCTTGTCTGATGATAATTGACACATGAGAATAATCGTAAGTATTGTAGAATCTCAATTGTACCACTTAGACTACCATTCAAAAGCTAAATTATTCCTTGTTTCAGTATTTCAGATACACACTGTGTTCACTGACACTGTGAGTCCATATATTATAATTGTGATGAGCCTTGATGTAATTTGCAAACCTTTCACACATGCTAGAATAACAAATGTGAAATATTTGTATTCAAACTTAAAAGGCTCCCACCTTAAAAGACAATGAACCCGATACCCCCTTGCTTCTGGCATCAGATAGTTCAGACCTCCAGTAATGGTTCAATGTGTTTATTATATTTCAGTACTTCACTCATGCTTTGTTACATTATTTGACAACACCTGAAACACAATTTCAAATAATATTCTTGCTTTGACAACAGTCTTCAGTCGGGGCAACTTCCAGCTTCTGTTATTCGTA